CCCCCCCGCCCCACTTGCTGCCAGCAGTACACTTATTTTTCCTGGGACAGGCTCTCAGTCGTGCTAAAATCAGGGGGAGTTTTGCCACAGAGTTCGGTGAAGCCCAGATTTCAGGGCTGATGTTTCACGGGAAACAGTGATGATGATAAGAATCACCTCTTGCAAACGCTTACTAAAAATCACACATCATCTTTAAGAGAAGCTGCCTGAGGACTCTTAGCAAGACCTTAATGAGACTGGTCCTAGAATTGCTTCCTATTTTGTTCAGGCTGCTACAGGAAGCATAAGAGCTGCGTGTTGGTACTAGCTCTGCAGTTTGGATGCTGAAGGGGAACAGATCTAGGTCCCTCCAGAACCTTTGCTTTGTTTTTTTCCTTATAAAGGATTATAGTTCTTTTTGCAGGAGAAAGAGAAACTTCGTAGAAATTAATGAGGTAGCAAAACAGCCAAGGAACAAGAGAAGTACTGGCAACAGACGCCTGTGGTAAGAAGTGGTGGTGATTTTTGGAGAAAGTTGTGACTGAAGAAATTTGTGTCTCCTCCTACAGCTTGGATCATACCATGTTCAGGGAAATGAGACATTTGGTACCTTTTGGTAAACATACAATCTCTTGGCAACACAAACCCAGCTCCATTGGCTCTTTTCCCACTTAGTACCCAGAACCTGACATTCACAGGTATAGCAATGGGCACTCTGCTGGGCTTGCTGAGTTTTCGATCTGGGGAAGACTCAGAAATGCCCCTTTTCTTTATGCTGGTGTTATCTTCCATGTGGTAACTTCATTCACCCATTTCCTTTCCTCATGGCACAGGCCTGGAGGTGATTGCTGTGGGAAGAGCAGGAGAGTAGACATGCCAATCAAACAGCATGACTGCTCCAGCTATTTTTTCCTTCTCTGTGCACAGGTTGCAATGGCACAGCTATTCCAAGCACATACGCCTGGGCATGTTGTACTTGGTAGCATAGCTCATGGCTGAACTGGGATGTTTCCTGCTATGACAAAACTGCTGTCTCCGTGACTTTGCTTTAGGAAGATGTGTGAGGCTGTAACATACAAAAGACAAACACCTTGAGATTTTCATAGCTGCACATGCCACGGCCAACAGCCAATGTACTCATTGATAAGGCAGTGCAGGGGTCGAGAACCATCCATGTGTTGGCATAGTCCTGGCAACTGGTTTTAGTCGTGACTGATATTTTTGGGTTGATGACAAATAATTGATAAGAGGTAACTAAGGTATAAGGAAATTGCAGCACTGGCATTCAACAAACCCACAGGATTTATCAGAAGGATCCAGGTCTTTTCATTCCCCCACACTGTGTATGGGGCATTTCTGCAATTTACTTCCCCTCATCTGTAAAGTGGAGTAATTCCCTAACTTCTGAAAAACATTCTTGAACTGGTAACATAAATCAAGAGAAAATCATTGATCTCTTGTAAACACAAGACTATCACAATATCATGTACTACTGATTGAATGATGTTTTTATTATTGCTAGGTTATTATCAGATATCTCATGCAGTAAAACCTTATTTGATTTCTATTAATATTTCACAGACACATAGGTAAATTCCAAAGGTCAATTTTTTAATGAGGTGCCCCACAAAGTGCCTCACACTGTTTTACTGTGTTCCTTTTGCACATAGCCTGTGACAAAGATCAGTAAATGTTACACTGGAGGGCGTAGTACTGCAATCTTTACAACATTTTTGCTTTCATCAAAAGCACTCTCACATCTGCTCCTTTCCCAGTTCAATGTGCAGTAGTGCTATATTTGGGCCATACCAGGAAGTGAGGTTGTGCGCATGTGTGCAGTTCATTAACTGCATGCTCCTCCGTAAGTCATACAACTTAATATAAGAAGGCCACACGATGAAAAGGTAGCAAGAAAAGAAATATATTACACGTGGAAAAGTTCTACTTCGGCATGTGTACTTGGAGGGTCAGCATCCTGATGGCACTGTGCTTCCTGCGGCAGACTAAAGGTACAGGAGAGCTGTCTTTGTTACTTTTCATTTTGCTATGCTATGTGGCTTTGCTTGTAGGAGGAAAGACGTATACAGGTAAATTTTAAGCAGTTTAAATGGGAATTGTTCACATAAAGTCAAATATTCCACTATAAAGAAATGACAATTTAAAATCTGTCTTTAGAATGTGTCTTGTTGAAGGCTAGTGATGTACATATTTACCTATCAGAAACAGTAAGTACCAGGAAAGTGCAAGACATGTCTGATTCGTGTCGCTGCATTCAGATCCTATCTGCCTTTGAAGAACTGGGATTGAATGAGTGGTGTAAGCCAGCTCTGTCTGCCTCATCCAGGGGCTGGGAGGTGGGAGCACAAGGGAGTCAGGCTGGAATTTGTGCGGTTATAAACCAGGTCACAGGGAAATCCAGTGAGACCATGGGGGAAGCCACTGAAAATTATAAAATAGGATGGTTCACACAAATGTAAGTCCTACTTCTAAAAGCTGTTGAGATGAAGATGTTTTATAAGAGATGAGGAAACATACCTGCTTCCATAGCCAATTTCCAGTCTTAAATGAACTGAGATGCTCTGCCCCAAATTTTGAGACCACCTTGGTCAAAACCAGGTGATATTTCCTTTCCCCAAAGATATTTTAAATCATTCACATAATTTTCCCTTCCAATCAGGTCATGTTCAACTTCCCCCTCCTCAAAATGTTACACTATTGTCAAAGGATTTTGACATGATTTTGACATGGACTCCTGGAAAAGACTCTCCACCAGATGTGACATACACTGTGAGGTATGAAAGGTAAGCACTTACAAAGGATGTCTGACTGAATGTATGGCACAGGGCAAACATCTATGCATGTATGTTAATCAGTGTCATTATCATCAGTGACCTGGCTGCATCCTTTCACCAATACCAGTCCTTATCTGTCTGGAAAGTGCTCCAAACTCTGAGCAAGATTTGGTACCCATCCTCCCCTTGCTCTATAGATTATAACAAAACATGTTTAATATTATGGTGTGCTTGTTTCTTCTTTTAGCCAGGAACGCATGGACAAATGGACAAAGGTTCCTCGTTGCAAAAATATTCACAGAACCTCTTGCAATCTGACTTGTGTGCTTCCAAACTTATTTGTTAAAGTCCGGGCTCGAGTAAAAGCTGTTTCTGGACAACTCCAGTCACCATGGGTAGAATCACAATTCAAGGAATACCACTTGGATGGTGAGTGGCTGTTAGGTTACAGCCCTGATGAAAGGACATCCCAACAACAGTGTTGGCATGAGCAAATGAGGAGTAGACCACACACCACAGAAAAAGAAACAGTAACTAGCAGCTTTATGAATGACAGAGATTTGAGTGGACACAAACAACAATAAACCATGATAATTTGAAAATAATTTTTGTAGCAGCTGTCAGAATTTGTTCATCAAGGTGAACAAACTGGCTTCAAGTTTTCCATATCACAGTGGGGGTATGTTAGATAAAAAAGAGGAATTCCTTTCTCTTCCTCCTTCCTTTGTGTCTATCACAAGATAACAGTTAAAGTGTAGATCAGTCACAGAAAAGTGTTACTTCTATGAAGCTAAGACAGCAGCAAGCACTATTCTTATGTCTGGTCATTCAACTACAGTGGAACTGGCTCCCCCAGTGCTAAACGTGAATGTCAAGGAGAATGTAATCCATGTGAATGCTTCCTTCCCTTTGGCCACCTGTGTGGAGAGTTTCTCTTGGATGTATGACTTGAACCTTTGGGAAGCTGGATCGGAAGAAGTGGCACTTCTTCGATGAAATGGAGGAACAATGCCCAGCTTGAATTGAAATAGCTTCAAATTTCTGGGCAGTGAGGGACTGGATCCAGGGCTGGGAGAAAATGAAATGGCCAAAACAGAGTAAAACCAAAGTCTGAGGAAAAAAGTAGATGTGTGTGTGTGTGCATCCTTATTTTATTGGTAGTTCCCTTTCCTATTCTGTTCTTATTTTTATCAGGAAGATGTGATGGGGAGGCTACACTATAGTCAGTATAACAGGGCAATACCTGAGGTTTAAAACAACTAGTTCAGGTACTGCTAACAGCATGCCATGGCAGCACAGAGCACAGCACCAGCTGAAAATCCCACCTTAGAATCCGTAAACCCTAGGAGAGATGCTTGCTACAAACAGCAAGCAAGACATGAAGTGCATCTCCATGCACCTTCCAACCACTGGAGCCACACAACATGATGAAGAGAATCATGGGCTAAAAAGGTAGAGAAACACTACCAAAATAATGAACGAATTAATCTTTCTAACCCTCTGTTCTTCTTGTTTCTGAACAGAAGCAATACGAAGGTATCTTTAGGAAGAATACAGTGACTATCGACACCACTGCACTTAGAGGCAACTACTGCTTAAGTGCCAGATCTTCCTTCCAAAGCATTGACTTCAAGCACAGCAAATTCTCCCAACCAGTATGTGTGCTATTAAACCCCAAAGGTATGTCCCTGCTGAGAAAAAGATGTGGTGAGACATCGAATGGGATTAGGGCAAGTCAAAGATTTCCATCAAAATTAGCTTTCAACCAAAAAAATGGGCTTCCTGTTAAACGGATCGGTTGGATTTTCTAGTGAAAAGTGTCTGCTTTCTATAGAAACAGTAGAAACATTTTAATTTAAAAAAGCCAACCCTGAAATATTTCCTGAAAATCCTGAAATATTGTACTTGAGTTATGCTCACAATGAAATTTTGGGAATATTAAAATTTCTCCTGAAAAATATGTGAATAAAGCATTTTACCTGCTCCAAGTAAGGCACTGGCTGGTATCAACATTCATTTCTGACTGTGACTTTGACTTAGAATCTGTTCTTAGGCAAGTCTGTTATAATTTTTCTGCATTTGTAAAATAAGGATCTTGAGCCTAGTATTTTCTGAGATTTCTGAAAGAAAAGCCAAGTATAACGGCCCATTATTAGTATAAAATTTACTACTATCAGGAGATTATTTTTGTCTTTTTCAGTAGTGGAATGGGAGTTCCCATTTTCTGCCACAATCCCTGCGTTTGTCCTCCTCCTCCTCCTTCTGACAAGTGCCTTCATCATCTCCTTGCTGAAACAAGATGCTAAGCGAAAGAAGATGCCGCGTGCTTTGGTATGGCCCAAATGCTGGGGTCCCCTCCTGACTCAAAGTCTTGCTGATTTTCAGAGGGTAACTGGAGTGGCGTGGGGGAGTTGCATGGGCTCTGCGCTTTTCAGTTTTGTGTTCTAAAGTCCCATTATAAGTAAGATTTGATTCTGGCATGTCCTATATCCAAAATTTTCTTTAAAAAGCATCACTAAGTCATTGATCTATGTGTCTTGTTTCTTTTCACTGGTAGGATTTATCTAATTTAAAAGCTGCCAGATCAGACTTTCACTGTGAGACCAGTGAAAAGGAATTCTTCAGGGACTATCTTATCTGCACAGAGAAGCTAATGCCACAAATGAAGACAAACAAAACGTTAAGAAGAAACAACCTACCGTGGATGGCTTCTTTCCTCTCATCATCATCAGAAGAGGAGGAGGAGGAGGAGGAAGAAGACAGCAGTGCTTTCATCCCATACACTGAAATGTCTCAGTTTCCAAAGAGACATCTCAACTGTCAACCACCCACAACAGCTCAGGGGGAAACTAGCTTGGACTCCGGATCTGGAGGTCTCTCTATGGATAGTGAATCCGTGCTTGACCTAAGTACCTTGGGTTTCTCTTTCTTTCCTATGAGAAATAATGAGGTGGACACCTCAGGATCCCAAGAAAATAAGGCAGCATCCCTTTCTCACAGTTTCTCTTTGAGAAGAATATCCCTCGCTGATGTGAGATTCCCAAATCCCAGGGAACATGGACAGCATGATACAGACAGGGATGAATCCCTGGAAATGACCCCTCTTCAAACACTGATGGAGGGGATTTGTGCCAAACTTCCAGCCAACGAGCACTACCTGCATAGGAAGGCTCATCATTTCACCAAATATTATCAGAAACCAATAGTTGATCTGCATGTCCAGATCGGTGAGATATCCCAGCTCAGTGAGGATCCCAGCACTGAGATGCTCATTTCCTTTCAGACATTACAGGTGGCAGAAGATGAAGGTATTGCAAGTGACTGTGACAGCGAAAATTTTACAGAAGGGACACCTCCCGCATCCACGGTGCTAACTGACACATTTGAAACTTCAAATATGGAAGAAAAATATGATCAAAAGTTTAAATTCAAAGGCTACGAGCATGCACATTACATGGGAAGGAGCTAGAGAACCCTAGCAGTTCTGTGGCATGACTGGAAAATCCTAAAGAGCTCCAGCTATCCAGGCAAGGATACCTAAACAAGAAAAAGGACAAGTAACTGATAGTGGTGCTTTGTATTTATTCACCTAGACAGAGTCTTTTCTACTGATGTCTGGCCTATCAGGGTATATGGCTTTATGTGTATTTTTACTGCTAAGTAACTAATGTACATTCACCATCCCTCTGTACAAGTACAGCGATGATAAGGTGTTAAGGCTCTGGTATGAGGCACGCTATTCGAACCCAGCCAGGGGTGAGACATGCAGTGTAGGTATCACATAGCAAACATGCAGTGCCTTGTGTTCACTTGAGACTTCAGAGCAAGGTAACTTTTACATGTAAGTTATGAAAGGCAAAACCACCTCTGAGACAGTAAAAACACAACCCAGACCTCTGTGAAGCCATCGGCTGGGTTCTGAAAACACAGTGTTGTGCCTGCATGTGGATTTTGAGCCAGGATAAACTGCTAACGTTACATTCGCTTCTCCGTAACTGCAAAAAACTGCACCTCTGCTTGACTGGAAGTACCTTACAGAGACGTTTAACAACCTTTGCTTTTTGAGGGATGAAAAGATCATCTCAATCTACAGGGATCACCTTCTGCGTTTCAACAGAGTGAACTGAAGTCAAAGTGATAAATGTGAAGCATGTTTATTTATTTTTATACATATACAAATATACTTATTGAAGCTGAAATTCCTCCTGCTGTGCAGAATGTCGGAGAGCTGCTTTATGCAGAGGCAAAAATATTTTGATATATAACTCCATGTGTGCGTGTTTTTATGTTTCCCAGAACTACAAAGGGTGACGGCAGCTCATCCTGAAAAACATTTCATTTTAAAACAGGACTCCATCATGGGCTTCTTAATGCTTTGGTGTGAGTAGAATACTATGGGACTTCCCAGCCAGGTCACAGAAAGACCAGGACTGTGACCATCTTTCTGAGCAAAGAATCAAATCAGAAGTCCACAAGCAAAAGGCACAAGAGAGACAAGGCCTCCCTTGACCAGCCAATACTGACCTTTTCAGTGTATTTTTAATTTGCGCTCTTCACATCTCACAGAAACTTACTCTCCCATTTTATTCCAGTAAAAGGACATACAGAAAAGCAAAGCATTAAAAGACACAGCCATTCTCTGCATTCAGAGAGTTGCCTCAGATGAGGGAAGGGTGTTGATGGAGGGTATTAAAGCTGACATCTTCAGAGAATCAGGAGAACAATATTAGAAAGAGGCAAGAGGGTGATAGGAGGGGTTGGGAACTACTTTGAAAGAGGAAAGCAAGAGGTACTAATTAAGGTCCTGATTTAAAGTAAAAAGGGGAGGTGGGAGAAAAGATTCATCAACTAGAATTTTCCTTTTTTTTCTTATCTGTCCTCCACAAAGTGTCCTTAGGTACATCCTGCATTGTAATCCATCCTGTTCATTTAGAAAGATCAGCACTCATTTTCTTGTGCAATCAAGGAAAAAAAACCCAGGCTTTGAGTTACAGGAAGCTCTGAAGTTGTGTAACTTCTACAGAATTATTTTGACATGTCACAGCTCTGCAAACAGGGCCTGGGATCAGTTCTTTGTGTCCTCCAGGTTTGCTCAGGATGGAAGCTGAGGGAAAGGCTGCAGGCCAGGTGAGCTGTACTGGAGGAAACAGCATCCCACTCCTCCATGTCTTTTTTCACCACGGCTTGAGACTTGCTTTCCACCGCAAAAAGGTCAGGGACAGCCAGAGCACAGTGTTCCCTCTTTCAGAGCACTGTGTGTCCATATCTTACACCTTACTTAACAGCTGTACCTGTGTAAAGAGAAAAGCAGCTCTCCTCTCTCATTGGAAGAAGTATGACCCAGTCAACCAAAAAACCTGGACATTGCTCCTCTACTGGATAAGTGTGAGAGCTGGAATCAAATCTCCTACGTCCCTGGATCAGCAGTCACTAGGCTTCATGCAGTTCTCGCAGAGTGGGGCTCTGCAGCCTGAGCCCTGCAGCAGCTCAGAGGAGATAACCACCTTGGTCTTTTTGGCCTTAATCTACTATCTTTGCAAATCTCAGGCATGCAAGATTTTTCTCTTCTTTCCCAAGCTGTGCCAAGTTATAAGCAGGGTTCCATGGAAAATCTGTTACGAACCTCTCAGTCTGTTTTTGTCCTTAGGAACTAATTCCTGATATACACTCAGGGTTGGAAGTTGAAAGCAAAGTGTTTAATTTTAAACTTGGAATTTTTAAACTTTTGGAGATCGTCAGGTACCTAAAGATTCAGAGAGGTTTCTCCTGGTAATAAGGAATTTTCTCTCTGGAAATAAGGGCAGAAATAAAGTTTTAAGTTATATTCTCAAAACTGAAGTCTCAGGTGCAGTACAATGTCCCTCACCTCTGCCCTATCATGGGTTATCACACAGCAGAAGCATGAGGTAGTGACGTGAAGGAAGGAAAAAAATGGAAATACTTTAGCAAGCTATTCAGGAAACACCCTAACAAAGAGTTGTACTTAATTAGATGTAGGCCATACTGGTGGATAGGTGTGTCTTGTTAAATAAACCTGTGAGGCTTTTGCATTTGTCCGAGTGAGATGAGAAAGACGAAATGCCAGCAATGCATCAGTGGCATGGTTTGAAGCATACAGCCCCATTAATAATTGAAGCAGGGCAGGGAATAGAAACAACCTCAGGAACAGGAATCCATGAGATGAAGGAGTAAGCAGAAGGGCTAGTAATTTCTATCACATGTTTGGCAACAAGAATAGAATAGCGAAAGCAGTGTGCTTTCAGCTTCAGAAGTACGCATGGTTTGTATTTTGATTAAATGGGCTGCAGGTGTGATGCTGCTTTTGGGACTCACTTGTAATAATAAGAAAAAAATCTAGCATTTAGGAGCTTTAAATAGGCTTTAGACAATATAGGAGCACTGCTTGTATGGAATTAGTTGAATGTGCAGCTGTCCTATGTGGTTTAGGGCAGATCTTTCTGTTAAGGCTTTTCTAGGGCTGAAGCGATCACAATTTGAACAGTTTCCAGTGCTCAGGACAGTCCAGTTGGTTTTGCTTTGGTGGAACCTCAGCTTTATGCAATGGTCCCAGGCAAAACTGAGGACTATGAACAATTAGGACCATGGGATAAAGTGAGCTAGAGAAATAAGCCAGGGAGGTTATCCAGTCTGTGCCAAGGGAACGGCTATACTATAAAAATTCAAAAGCAGTGGCTAAGGGAGTTTCCTAAGCCTCAGATGCAGGTGGTATGCATGAAGCTTTCTCCACTTAGGAGAGGTAAATGTTGGGTAAAATAAACAGCATGTAGCTGTACCAGTTCTTCAGATGTTACACACATCTGGTGGTTCTAAATCCACATCTCTTGGAGACAGGCAATCAGTTTTCACTTTTCACCAGAGAAGGAAATGCCTCTCCCTCTTCAGAGAAGAGCCTGAAAATGTAAGTTAACAATGCCCTGAAAAACTGAGAACGCTATGAAAAAGTAACTATATCTCTTTCTTTTTTCGATTTCATACGAACTCCCAGTTCTTACCATATGGCATTCACGATACTTGGAACAGAGCCTTATATTGCAAGCAGCCACAAAGATAAGCTGTTGGTCTACAGAGACCTCTGAGAAAAGCCACAGGACAGCACGTGCTCCTCCTACGGAAAGGCTACCTCCTTCCTCCAAAGGAGAGAACCTCTGCAGCCACCTGGTAGTGCAGAGTCATGGCAGACTTGAGGAGCTTGTGCTCTGCCCAGTAAGCAGCAGGGCTACATGATAGTTAGTCATTTGGCTCCCATCCAAGGCCAGTATGAACAACAGAAGAGCTTAAAACCTAGCGATCTGGCTGACTTTCATTTTAAGAAAGTATTCAAAGGTATTTCTTAAGGAAATAGGTGTCTTGCTCGCGGCAGTTATAAAACCAACTAGGTGTACAGCACTAAGTTTTAACTTCCAGAATTTTAACAGGTCAAAGTTACCCGACCAGAAAAGCAACCCCCAAAACTGAAAAACCTCAGTGAGGGATTTCAGGCAGGAAGCTCTTTATCACCAAAATGGTATTTGGCTCTCTTTCAAAAACTCGGGATTTTCTCAGCCTCTGGCTTGTGCACCTTTGTACACTTAGGTGTGTATACTCCAAAGGGGAGAGGCGATTCTGGTTTTACTCTTATATTCTCTCTTACACATGCGCACACATCTTTAGCTGGTGATCTCAGATCCGAATGCAGGCGGGATAGTAGCTCTGCAGCCTGTTACTGGGCAACAAATCCAACCTGGCCTCACAAATAAGAATTTATCTCATGTAAAAGGTGATTCACCTGTACACAGGATCAACTGCCTGCTCTCCCAGCCCAGCTTGCATAGTTATTCATGAAGCAATTTCTGATCGTCTTGGCTGTATTTTCAGTGCTCGGTAAGTCCTGACTTCTTTCCTATCACCGATAATGGTTGTTTCTGTTTGATCCTGTGGTATGGGAGGTAGTTCAATCATGTTTATAGAGAAAAGACCTAAAGAATGAGCTGTTGTTTGAGGTTGTTCAAAAGGTCTCTTCTGTGTTTCTCTCTCCCTTTAATATTTTCCAAGTACTGTTGCTGTGCTCAGTGCTTTAAGGATTAGTAGGGAGAAGAAAAGATTCCTTCACTTCAAAGCATTTGCCACTGATGTGTTACAACCCAAATCCTACAGGAGTAAAGGATATTCATTGACTTCAGGGGGCTTTGGATCAGTCCCCCTGTGTCTTAAGTGCAGACACAAATGAATAGAAGAACAGCCCTGATTTTAAAAGAGGTACAAACAAATAATGTATCCCTAAAAGCCATTTAATCCTACTCCAGATGTGGCAAATGTACTCCTGGGTGAATCAAGGGTAAACTTGGTATGTTTTCAAATGCCAGGTTTTCAGCAAGCAACCTTATTATTCATCTGCCTTTGTGCCCGTGATCTTACACTGTAGGGAAGGGGCCTTCAAAAGCTTCTAAAACAGAGGGACTCTCACACTGT